TTTTTAATTATTCATATTTTCCAATTTTCCTATTTAAGCTTCTTCAAATTATTTAGGAACAGCATTTTCAAATTCTGAGTAAGATTCCGTCCTATGAATAACTCCAGCTGGTGGAGATCTAGGTTGTGTTCCATTTTTGGCTATCGTGGCAGTTCCAGGGTTACTACCTTCGTTATTCATTGTCCATGCCTCTTGTTATGTATGCACAGTAACCAGATATCCTGGTCATTGCCTGTTGTCCCAGGTCAATTATTAAGGGTCTGTTGGCCCTTGCTCACTCTCAAAGGTTACCCTTTGGACAATAGATTACCTGGACCCTCTTTAAGACGGTTCGGAGGTACCTGGAGATGATGAGAGGTTGGCAGGGTAGGGGGAGGAGGGCAGAGGCGGCTCATAGGTTCTGTTGTGGGCAACTGGGTGAAGGACAGCGATGCCAATCTCTGAGATGAGGTGAAACTTGGTGGGAGGGTGGTGAGTTTTGGACACATTGAGTCAGAAGTGTCCACGTGACTTTCCAGGGACGTTGTCTGGGAAGTAGCTGGAGATACAGCCTTTGCCCATCATAGGTCACTTGGCATGGGGGGAGGCACTGGCGATCTCCACTCTCACTTTCCTGGGGTCACTCAGCTGCTTGGTGGAAGAATCAAGCCATCCAAGCATTTTATCAACACTCAGCTGGAGCTCTAGCTCAGTGGCGTATACCTTTTCTAACTTTGAACCTCTGTCCTGGTCCGTAGCTCTGGGGCTCATCAGTGGGGAATCAGTAATGGGCCCACTCTCCTGACAGAGAAGAGATTTGGGGCCTAGAGAAAGGAGCTATTTCTCAAGGTCAAGGTTGGGTCTACGGAATGCATCCTAGAACTCAGAGTGAAATAACCACCAATTCCACATCTAATTCAATCCTCATGGTAACCCTGGGTAGGGGATCCCATCCTCCCCATTTGCAGATGAGACAACAGAGGCTCAGAGAAGTGAAGTTCCCTTGCCCAAGGTTGTGGAGGTTGGCAGAGGATCGCTTTGACCAGGTCTTTGCTTTCTTCCCCTCTGCCTGCTACACCTCTTTCTTCTAGAGGCAAGTCCCCTTCCTCTGCACCTTTGTTGACACAGAACCACCTGGTGAATTATAGCCTTCATTCAGTAGATGTGACAGATGCTTGATGATACCATCTCAGGGACAGTCCCTGAGCTGAAGATACGAAGATGAAAAGAACCTGGCCCTTGACCAAAGGAATTATAATGTATTAACAGAACTACAAAGCAGCATGTCTCTATTGCTCAGATGAGAAAAAAAGGCCCCAGGAGGGGAGTGACCTACCCAAGCCCACATGGTCATTTAGTCCAACTCTGACCCCTGTTCCATAAAAAAAAGTCACCCAATGGTCAATACACACCTAAGTTGCTTGCTTTCTCGGGTGACCAAGACAATGCAAAGTGAAATGACAAGGAGATGGAATTTTACATTCATTACATTGACACAAATTAAAATGTCTGATGGAAGCAAGTATTGCTGAGGATGGGGAGTGGCAGACACTCTCTGCACTGCCACCCCCAAGGCACAGCCCTTTGCACAACTCCTTTGGGTAGGTGAAGACGCAGGTGGCCTCCTGGCGGAGCATCTGTATAGCCACAGGTGTGTCCGTACCTGGCACAATGCTCTACTGTTGCTGTCTTGAAATTCCTAATAATTTATCAAGAGGTCCATGTTTTGGTTTGCACTGGGCCCTGCAAATTCCACAGCCATCCTTCCCAGCAGTTCCACTCCTTGGCATATCCCCAAGAAACTTGTATATGGGGTGCTGGGAGCCCTGCTGAGAACGTTCATAGCAGCTCTGTTTCTACAAAAAGCCAGAGAAACCCACACAGCATGGATGAATCTGAGAAACAGAATGCTGATGGATGAAAACATGAAGTAGAATACATACAACAAAAAATAGTCTTTTCATTTTCAGTCTTTTTGTATCTTTTCATAAAAAGACAAGCAAAGATGAATAATGGCAGGTAAGGAGATACACATATGTGGCCAATCTATAAGAAATCATCTTTAAAGACGACAGAGAAGGTGGACTCTCAAAGGCACACACACAGCTTCGATACATACATACATATATATATATATATATATTTTTTTTTTTTTTTTTAGATTTTTATTGGGGAATTGGGGGAGGGGAACAGACACGTTGCTGTCCTTTTGTTCTTCAGTCTAGTTGTGGAGGACATCACTTCACTGGCCCATATTGGTATTGTGATCATTGCGCTTTTCCTGGCTGAGGCAGTCAGTCGTTGGGAATTGGACGGCTGCTCACGCTGGCTGCCAGCCACTCACGGTAGCTTACGGCAGCCCACTGAAGCCCCACTGCAGCCTACGCTGTCCTTAGCGACTCATGGCAGCCCAGCTCTAAGTCGAGCTGTTGTTCACCATCTTAGCAATAGACGGCGCAGCGTCACTGGCCCATGTGGGATCCGAACCAGCAGTCCTGCTGCTCAGAGCTCGAGTTCCCAAGCCAACTCTTAGCCAACAAGTCACTCGGCTGGCCTACAGCTTCAATATTGTTGACCAGACGCTGTTTGAGGTTGGCTGGGGGGGTCTGTAATTATTATGCTTCACATCGAATCTATGACATCAATTCACAATGTATTTATGTGAAATACTTCAGATTTTAAAGATGGAAGAACCTGCCCAGGTGTGCCACACTGTTGGGATCACACATGGAGAGATGGATGGCACGCAGCAGGGCTGAGCAGCCTGTGTCTGTCACCGTGGCTGAGCCAGGAGGCTGAGGAGAGGCTGCTGGGAAAGGGGAATGTTCTCCAGCTGAGGCTCAGCCCTCCTAGACTTTAGCGATGGCTGCTGAGAACCAGCTTCATGAGATAAGTTTTCAATTCTCAAACACGATGATGCAAGATGTTAAATGCACCAAATTGCAGCTGGTTTTTGCTTATGAAACACATACATATAATTTTGACTCTAAAATGTATAGCTCTTATATTTAATCTGTTTCATCTTCAGCGACTTTGCATTGTTGTAATCTCTCTGGGCAAAAGGTGCCTTTCATTTCAAGAGGTTTTATATTTTTCACTGCATTTCTAAACACTTACCTTGGTTGTTTTGTTCCACAATGCAAATCAAACTATTTTCCTCTTCTCTTTTTTCCAAGTTTTGTCTTGGTGTCATATTGCTTTTATAATTTAAGTAGGAGGTGGAGGGGGGATGAGGGGGGGTGAGGAGGTGAAAGAGGAGGAAGAAGGGGTGGTCTCCCCTGCCATAACCAGAGTAACTGATGGAGATAGTGGTCTGAGGAGGGGCCTGCCTGGGGTGGGCCATAAAGCCCCCATTGCCCCCTGCACTGTGCCCAGGGCTGGCACCTACCCAGGACTGTCTCCTGGGGTTGGAGCAATCCTCAAAGCTGCTCTGAGGAGGCCATGCCCACTCCTTGGCCTTGGGTGTCCAGATGTCCAGGGATCCCTAGCCCAATCCCAGGAAGCAGATCTAAGATGAAGCATGGCTTCATGCGTGGGCCTAGCTGAGGCTCTCTCAACTGGCTCACAACCTGCCTCTGCCCCAGACCAGCCTGGCAAGGATGGGAGGGCTGTGCAGGACCAGAAGGGGCAGCTGTTGGGGGAGCCTGGGACCCTCTGAGGGAAACTCTGGGGGTAGGCTAGTCATCAGCTGTCCTAGCCCAGCTTCCTATCTGTTTCCCCAGACCTGGCCTCAGGAACCTAGCTGGCAGCTTCCTCAGGCTGAAGCTCCCATTAGGTGGGCATGAGACAGAGTCTCCACAACCCCAGCTCCTACCCTTCCCCCAGGCAGACCCTGAGCCCTCAGATGTCTGTGCCAGACTTGACCTCTGGGTGTAGGTTTGTCCTCTTGTTGGCAGAGAGCTTGGCTGATGTCCCTGCCCCCCACCCCCACCTGGCATCACAATGGCCTGGTCTGGCGGGGGGTCACTTAGCCCAGTCCCTCAGGCCTCCCATTGCCCCCACCCAGTGGCCTCAGAGAGAATGCGTTCCTTGGCTCCAAGATCCCTCCCTAGTAGTGGTGGGGGTAGTAATGGAGCCACCATCTGGCTTTAGCGATGAGATTCAGACACACCAGGCAACTCATTAAAGAACAATCAAGACAGCATATACTTAAGACGGAGGATCGGCTGGGCAGATTCAGCAGGAGGCGGCGGAGCGGGGAGAGGAGGGGGAGGCAGATGTGTGAGGACGTGGGGCAGGGCCGGCAGGGCCTGGTTGGGAAGCCTCAGTTCCCCCAACCCCCAGTGACAGAATGGAGATCGAGCTGTCTCCCTTGTCTCTGGAAGGTGGAAAACCACGGCCCCAGGCTGCCTGGAGCAGGAGCGGGCACTGAAAGCTCTCAGGGGTGATTTTGGAAGGAGTAGGAGAAATCAGGCCAACAAGGCCCTAAAGTGGACAAGTGGGTCCCACAGCCGAAGAAAGTAGGCAAAGGCTTGGCATCTGGGGCAGGAAGGATGCAGCAATCCCCGGCCAACTGGCCCCAACTAACCCTAAACTACAAGCCACCCCCCCCCCCATGTTTTGGGGAGAAATCTAGGCAGCATTTTGGGCTGTGGCTCAGCAGCTTCTGCATGGAGGCATTTTTGATGTCCGTCTTCTCTTGTGAGATCTGAGCCAGGAGCACAAGAACCTCCCGGTTGAGTGTTATGTGGAGAGGGTCTCCGTCCTCGGTGGCCCAAGAACATCAAGGACACCTGTGGGCTCCCAAGGGGCCTCCCTGCTCTTCAGTCACCCCTGCACAGGCTCACAGTTAACGTGCACTCCTGCTGCTGGTGAGGGTGGGCTGGAAGCCCAGGAATGAGAACCAGGCCGGGCAGGCTGGTTGGAGGGGCTGGGCTGGCAGGGCTCCCTCCAGAATTTGGCTATACCCCTTGCAAGGAAATCCGCAGGCGGTCCCCCCTGCACCCTAGGAGCTTCCAGACATCCTGGACACCCAGGAGAATCAGGTGAGAGAAGGCGGCAAGACTCAGGACTCGAGACAGTTTTCAGAACTCACGGTTTATTGATACTTGAGCACAGTGGCCCTGGGACGAAACACCTTTCTGGTCTCCCACCCTGGGACTTATCCCTAAAGACAGGGGAAACAGCCATCCTGTCTTCGAACTAGATCCCCCTCGCAGAACTTCACTCCCAGGAACCCCACTGAGATGTGTAGAGATAAACCCTTGGCAAGACTGGCACGGCATGTGAATGGCAAAGCTCGGCGAATTTGGCAAAGCCTGGCAAATTTGGCAAAGCCATGGAGACTCGGAAAATCGCAGGCTCCTGGGGCTGTCCACTTTGGGCTACCGCCAGAATCAAACCAAAACAGGTTCTTTTGCACAGGCCTACCTGGTCTCTGTTTAGCTGGGGTGTGGGCCAGGCCTAGGAGCTGTCAGAGCTGTGCCCCCAGCCCTGGGAATACTGCTGCTGTAGCTGAGGAAGGGGTGAAGCTGGGGAATACTTGCTGGCTTGGGGAGGGCAGGAGATAGGACTGCTGCCAAAGGCAGGGATGGCCCTCAGAGAGCCTGTGCTTCTCGTTGGGGCGCACCCCTATTTCTCTCTCTTCCTAAAATTGACCCACTTCCTAGTCCTGGATGCTGAGGACAGGCTGTTTTGGGAGGCCATGCGTTCGCCTCCAGGATTTCAGCGGATTGGGAGCTTGACTAGCAGCCCTGGAGAAGCCAGCTGTGCCAGCCCCCTTTCCAGGCCCTCCCACCTCACAACTGCAGAGGGAGCTGGCTGCCTTCGCCTCCTCTCCCACCCCTGCTGGCTGGGGATCAGTCCTACCTGTACAAGCAGGGCTGTATTTCTCCAACTTTTGTATTCCATATAAGGCGCTGGCATCAGTAGCTTGATTCTTTTCCAACCCACTTAATTTTAAGAATAGACACTAATAATACTTAATCACTCCTCCCCGTTGGCAATGGGGGAGGAGCTCTCAGCACTGGTAGCATCTCCCAAGATGTGCTGGGTTCACCCTGAGTGGCCCCTGCACTGCCAGAATTCCAGGAGCTGCTGCACAGACTCAGTACAACCCTGTACCCTACAAAGGGAAACTGAGGCCCAAGAAGGGTGCAACGACATAATGACCTAGTGGCAAAGGTGGGACTTGAGAAGGGGATTGAGGTTTATAGACCAATATCCTGGCTAGGGGCCCTCTTGGGACTGTGTCCTGAAGAGGAAGTGGACCAGGGTGCTCAGAGGTTAGATTGCCCAGTAGCTCCCAGTGCAGCCAAGTCAAGATGGAAGAGACCTACTTCATGCCTAGGTGCTTGCACAGGCCAGTCCCCGTGCAACGGGAGAACAAGGGCTCCCTCGGCTGCCAGGACAAGCCTGGAGAGAGGTTCTGGGGGAGCCTCAGGCCAGGACTTGAATCAGGCCACCAAGTGGTGTGATCCAGACTCCACGAGGTGGAGCTCCTCTCTTGGCAGCAATCAACGGAATACGATTAGCAAAGAAAAGAGAAAAACAGAAGCCCATTTCTCCCTCTCTCCATGAAGGTCATGCCCATGGGATGCCAGGCTGGTAGTGAAGGGAGGGACCACATCCGGTTTCTTGCCAGCTCTGTGCTGGGAAGGGCTGTTGAGGGGGCTTCTAGCTCCCAGGAGGCAGCAGGGCTTTCAAGTTAAATGGGGCAACACCTAGTCATGTTAGCTGCCAAACATTCTCTGAATTGCAGCGACCATGTTTCAGAGGCTTTTTATCATGAAGCCTTGAGCAAGGCATTAACCACATGGTCTTAACGTCTTCATTCTGCTGTGGGAGTGGGGTAAATGTGGAGCTTTCAGGCGGTGGGCCATGGCTCCCTGCCTTCCTGCTGGACAGCCCACCCACCTCGGGAGAGGCAGCTTCCCTTTTCCAAGGGCTGCTCTCAAGTGCCATTGGGATCAGTGGGCTGCCTAGGCAGACCTTCCTGGGGCCTTTCTGTTGCAGGTGCACTCTGAATGCCTTCACAGGACTTCCTGGCCTCAAGGACCTGGCACTAAGCCTCTTCCCACTGTCCAGCCCCCTCCCCCTATTCTCCTGAAGCCTCAGTTAAGCCACCCACTGACCTTCCCAGGCCTGTCAGCCTCTGCCTGCAGCAACCCTGCCCACCGCTGCGAGCCCCGGTCCTCCCACCAGAGACCCCTCTCGCCTGGGGCCTGACCTCTACCAGGAACCCCCATCCAGCTCTGCCACTTTCAGCTCCACACAGGAGTTTTATTTGCCCCACTCAATGTGAACAAATGAAGTCACCTGAGTTTCACCTTCCCAGGGCACTAGGAGACATGAGCTCTTTCACAGGCAGTCAGACTGGGCACAGAGCAAGGAATCAGAGCCCACAAGCCATGGGCAGAAACAAGGGCTTTGGCCCTGCAGGTTGGACAGACTCCCAGCTGTGTCCCCACTGCCTTCAAACAGACCCACAGGCTACCTTGAACTTGCCAGAGCCTCTCATGTGTGTTTCCCAATGAAACCAATTCAACTACCAAACACACAAGACATTCTGGAACCTTCCAAACAGCAGCAAGGACCCGTCTGCTCATGAAGCTCAGGCCCTCGGCCTGGGTTCCAGCCAGATACCGAGCAGCACGGCCAAGCGGAGTGGGAGGCAGGCAGAGGCCACAGTCACCCTGCACTCCCGGAGCCCTGCGGTCTGGTCCAGGCCACATGGCACAGAGCATGCTCTCAGGGGCTGCCCTGCTGACTGTCAGTGGCGCATCACAAACAGGCAGAAAGACCTCTTCTAGGGAGAATTCTAGCCCAAGCATGCCATTGTAACAAAATAAATCCTACTTTTGTGAAAGCTTAAACATGACTATTAGAACCCGTCATAGGCCCGGCAGATCTAGCCTTCCCTAACGCTGTTTAAGGCACTTGAATGGCTTATTAACACTACCTGGAAAGATTGTTTCAATCTTGATTTAAGACAAAAAATTCAGTAATACTGCAAAAGAAGTTTCCCCTAAAAAAAAAATCAATACTTAAGTTTTCTAAGAAATAAAATAAATGCTAAGCTCTGCTTAAGTTATATGACACAACAGGTCACCTTGGCACTGACATAACAAAGACAAAAACCTGAAATACTGCTGCATTAGACTTTTCCCTGGGGGGAAAAAAAGACCACAGACAAGACAAGTATAGCATCTCTGAGTTTCCCCTCCCTGCGTGCTTGGGGGACAAGAGGGGACCAGGGAGGCCAGAGCCACATATGTCACAGCTACTATGAAGCGTGCAGTTGACCACTGCAGACCAGATCCCAGATTCTCTCCCCTATTTGGAAAGGGCCAGGTGCATCTATGGGCACGAGCCCTCCCAGCTGCGGCCCATGAAGAATGGATGAGAAACCTGCACTGGGAGCCCAGGACGTGCCTGCAAATGCCCATGGCTCCTGGGTCTGCAGGAGGGTCCCACACCCCACATACAGTGTCCCACTGTCCCCCCCCAAAACCACTGGCATCTTTGGTCTGGCTGCAGCCAGTGCCTGTGGGAGCAAGAGCTGGTGCAATTTCTGGGTCATCTTCTCTTTGGTGAGGCTTCCTTCAGAAAGCCTGGCCATCCCACTGCCTGTCACGAGCAAGGTGCGACACCCACTGCCCAATGCAGTTCCACAGCCACCAGGATGGGCTGATACAAGCAGCACGAAGGGCTTGAGGTCCCAGGGGAAAGCGCTGCTTGGGTGGCGCCTGCCTGCCCACCACTGCCTGTCAGGTCCTAAGGCATCTGAGGGGATGGGTCATGAGGTGGGGGCCGGGACCCTGGGCCTCCTAGCTTCTCTGTGGAGTGTTGCTCTCTGGCTCTGAGAGGTCAGAGGGCAAGTCACAGCTTCTCCCAACTACCAGGGGGTCCCCCATCCCCTGGGCCTCACCCTCCAGTAGGTCTCGGGGGTCCCTGAGGAAGACTACCATGACCGTGATGTTGTCATGGGAGCCCCGCTCCCGGGCTGCAGCCACCAGTTCCTCGGCGACTTGCAGCCCACTGCCCTGCTGCCTGACCAGGTGGCTCTGAACGAGGCCAGCTACCTCCTGGTGAGGGACAACATCAAAGAAGCCATCGCAGGCCAGCAGCAGGTAGTCCTCGGAGCCGGTCAGCTCCCGGGAGGCCGCATCCGCCTCCCCAGACACATAGGGCTTCTGGAAGACGTCCCCTGGGCATGGGAGAGAAGTGCCTTGTGTTAGAGGATCACGCTGCCCACTACTCCATCCCATCCCACCAGGCCGGCCTCACTGAGGTCACCCCTCCTCCAACACCTGCGCTCACTGGCGAGGACACAGGGTAAAAAAAGAACTTCACATGGAGGGTGACGTGACAGATTTATTCTGATATCCCTGAGGACAGAATCAAAATCTAGCAGGGCCAGGGCTCAGCTCCACAAAGCAGCTTTCTCACTCCCTATGGAGTGAGGCCCAGAGTGAGTAGCCCAGGACATGACACGGGCTGTGGCCCTGACCCTGGCCCTCCTGAGCTCCCAACGGCTCCCCTCAGACACCTGACAGGCACTAGACTAAGTGTGCTCAGATGCTTGCTATTCCTTTGTCATACCCACTCTTCTAGTTTCCCCATCGTGGAAGCCGGCACCACGATCCCCTGGTCCTTATGCCCAAGTCTGGGGGTTCCCTCTGATTCTCTCTCACATCCCACAACTAATCTGTTAGCAAGTCCTGTTGGCCTTACCTCCAAAATATAGCTCGAACCCACCTCCCCTCCTTGCTTCTACAGCTCACACCTAACCCAGACCCCACAGAGCTTCTGGATAGTACCCTACCTTCTGCTCTTGTCCTGACAGTCACTTCTCCATGGAGCATGAACTAGACCATGCTGTCCCTTACATGGAACTGCCCAAGAGCTCCCCTCCCCTTTGGAGGGAGCCTGGCTCCCCAACCTCTATGCTCTGGTGTGTCCTGAGACCCAGCAGCAGAAGCTGCAGGGAGAAGGGCTATAAAGAAGGCAGTATGTTTAGCAAGAAGGACAGACGTTTCAGGAGGCTGGAGGGATGGAGGCTATCACAGGGGATAGCAAGAAGGAGGTGATTTCTAAGTACTTGGAGGAGAGGTGTGGCTGCCCCCCAGACTGAGGCCTGGCAGTGACAGGATGCTGAGAAAATAGGATGGGGCACTGAGAAGATTTTAAGACAGAATCATCAGTATGAATGGGGCAGGGGTGGGGGTGTGGGAAATAAATCCTACTTATGAAATACTTAAAGATTATCTTCCAGGTAGCCAAGCGTTTCCTACTAGATTTTTCTAAGTGTTTCAATGAGAGATAATGACATATCACTTGAATTGCAATTTTTTTGTGTGAGATGCAAGTTTCTAAAGTGTCTGTGCCTGCACTCTCTACATTCCCCAGAGTCCCTCCACAACCTGATTGATAACACAATCCCACAGACCACAGGTGCCTTTTCAGCACATGACACTGCCATCCCCAACCCCTGGGTGAGCCCATGGGCCTTGAGGGGTCTAGAGGCCTGACCCTGGGCGACCGTCTCTCCTGCCCCTCGCCTCCTCACCAATGGCTCTGGAGACGGCCAGGGTCCCGTTGACTCTCCAGCAGTCCATGTGAGACACGAAGCCGCCCAGCGCTTCGATGCGCTCCTTCTCGTCCTATGGGAGACAGACAGAGTGGGGGCCTGGGCACGCCAATGGGGTAGGATGCCCAGCGCTGCAGCCTGGCTGGAGACAAGCTGGTTTCTAAGACAGCGCTGGAAACCACAGCTCTTGAACAATGCCCAAAAGCGGCATTAGTAGCACGGTGAGAAATTATAAATAACCTAACTGTCCTTCATTTGCTAGAATGGCTAAATAGGTTACGGTGCAAATACAGATGGACCACCCACGGCCACCGACTAACAGCCAGTTCCTAAGCAGCATTTCAGAGTCAGGGAGATGCTCGCGAGGCAGCAGAAAGAACATGAGCCCCGGGGTGAGATGGCGGGACTCTCAGTTGCCTCACCTTTCACACAGGACACTGTCCCTTCCCTGTAAACTGCTGGGACAATGAAGCCAAGGGTGTGCTACGTGCAGCCACTCAGCAGGGCTGGAAAACACTGAAGCAGGCCCTGGACGGGTCCTGTGCCCCCGGGTCCTTGTCCTTCTCCTCCACCCCAGGTGCTGCCTGGCTCCCCACAAGACTGTGATGTTCCAGGCCTGACAGGACAGGATAGGGGCCCAGTTCAGCCATGAGTCCTAAAAACCTCTTAGGTCCTATAAATTCCCCTGAAGGAGAGGTTTCCAGGTGTGAGCCTGCTCCCCGAAGGATAGTAACAATCATGTCTGCTGTTTCACAGATGATGAGCTCGAGGCTTGGAAGGGACAGAGCACAGCCATCTGTCCCTGCTCTTTGCCACGTTGCCATGCTTCCAGGCTCAGGAAGTGTTTGGAAAATGCTGCCTGGGAAAAGTCCCCAGTGGGCCTCAGAGGAGGTGTTGGACACGGAGCTTACATGGGTGTGGGCAGGCAGGAGCAGAACCGGCACCCCAAGCAGAGGTTTGCACCTAATCCTAACTTGGGCCAAATTTCACCTAACTGCTTGTCTTGGGGTAGGAGGGCCCACTGGGGAGCTGGCACTGAAGGCCTTGGTGTGACAGAGGATTCCTGCCACTTCTGGCTATGTGTTCTGAGCCAGTTACTTAACCTCTCTTCTCTAAACAATGCAGAGAGGATGTGTAGGAGGCTGTGAGCCATGGTGCGGCCCAGGCATGCTGTCAATCCTGGCTGTTAGGATCACTGCCTGATGCCCCCTGCAGTGCTTTGTGGAAACCACAAAAGACAGTTCCACACAATTACATAAAACCAACACTTCCACATGGAAAAGCCCATAAAGACAAAACAAAATTTGCAAATCACCACAGAGATAGGGAGCCAACCTCCCTAACATATATAAGATGCCTACAGATTGATTAGAAAACTAGCGACAGCGTAGGAGAAAAATAGGCATAGGACAGGAGTGGAGTATTCTCAGGTAAGGTGATTTTGAAAAGATGCTCAAGCTTGCTCTGTAAGAGAAATGCAAACTAAATAAAGGCCTTCTCACTTCTCAGACAGCAGGGCCCCACACAGCCTGAGGGGGCAGTTTGGCAAATCCGTACACTCTGATCCAACTATCACACACACTTCTAGGAATGTGCCCTGTAAATATACCTGACGCTGAACAATAAAATGCTGTACTAAGTTATTTATTGCTGCCTTGTTTTTAGTGCCAAAAGACTGAAAAAAATCTCAACGTCCAGTGAGGAGAGATGGGAATGAATGGAATTCTACCAGCCCTGCAAGAGGGTGGGGACATTTCATGTGCTGACGTGGAACACCCACCAGGCACATGGTTAGGTGAAAAGGCCGGTGCAGAGCAGCGTGTGGGAGGCCTACCTACGGGCATTCCCCAGAGTGCAAACTCTGGCTCTCCCACCTCGGGAGACAGACTGGGCACTTTTATGAGATGTGGTCCAAGTAGGAATGTCATCCTTCTGTCCAGGTCAGGTCCCAGAGGCTCAGCCGGGTGAGTGACCTCAGGGTCCCACCACAGCCTCTGCTCAACGAAGCCCTAAACCTGCTTCCTTCTGGCCTAGCATCACCTCCCTGAAGCCCTCCTCCCCAATAGCCCAGGTGGTCGGCCACTCCTTGCTTACATGCACGACAGGTCCCTACACGTTGACCCCATTTACTGGGCTGCTTACTGGGCAGATGGCCCAGCTCTCCCCTGCCTCTCTGAGAAGGAATGGCTCACTTGGAACCCCTGGCTGTTAACATCCCACTAGGGAACCCTGTGGCCACTTGAGTCAGGCAAGGGAGCCCTCCCTATGGAGGAGTGCCCGGAGTTTTCTAAGAGGATGGTCCAAGGGCCCTATTACTTCCTAATCTGCCCCAGCAACTCCTGGCCGGGGCTCCCTGACCATCTGCTTTCCCAACGGGCCCAGCACAATGAGGCCAGAGATGTCCCAGGTGTGGGTGAAGGGAGCCCCTTACCTGACGCTCGGGTTTATGCGGCTCCATCAGCTTCACCACCTGCCCCTGCTGCACCAGGATGACCTGGGAGTCTCCAAGCCAGGCAATGTGCAGGGTCTTTCCTGTGATGAGTGCACACACACCTGTGGTGCCGCTCTGCAGCCTCTGTGGGGAGAGAAGGCCCAAGGGGTGAGGGTGGGCTAAGCACCTGCCCCACAGAAATACGGGGTCCAGACTGAGCAACTGTTGGAAAAGCGCTCAGCCGGAAAAAGGAACAGAATGCTGATGCACGATGGGCACTGTGAATGTCACAGGATTACGCTGCATGGAAGGACAGCACAAGTACATCCTGTGTGAACTCATTTATATCAAATTCTGGAAAATGCAAACTCAATCGTCTATTGTGTCAGAAAGCAGAGGAGTAGTGTCTGGGGAGCAGGTGGGCAGGAAGAAATTTCTGGGGGTGATGAATATGTCCCTTATTGTGAAGGTTCCACGGGTGCCCAAACCTATCACATCGTACACTTTAAATATATGCAATTAATTATGTGTCAATTACCATCTCAATAAAGCTGCTTAAAAATAATAATAAACTAAACACCTGCTTCAGAGAATCCATTCTCCACTCTGAGAGGCGGCCCTGAGCTCGGGGACCGTTCTTACCTCCTAGGGGTGACAGAGGCCAGGAGGGCTGAGGAGTTTCAGCTTTTCATTGGTTCCCTGCTTACGGTTTTAGATGTCATACAGTTTTCTGTTAAGTCCGGCTTTGCTGATTTGTGTTCTGTGCTCAGGGCATCTGATGACAGTGCAGCCCCCACCCCAAGACTCCTCATCGGCTGTGTTAACCAGGGCAAGTCTTTTAAACTCTCTGAGCCTCAGTTTCCCAATGTATAAAATGGATGCAATCTTAGTATTTACCTCACAGGGCTGCAGGAGGACCCACTGAAGAGAACACAGGTAAGGTTCAGTTAGGAGTATGTTCACAGGGGGGCGGGATGCATTTTTTCTTCCCTTCCCCACGTTAGAACCTCCTCCCCACATGGCTCTAACTCCCAGTGGGCACCAGCACCTGCCAAGACCCTGCCCAGGAGAGCAAGGGCAGGTGGGGCTGTTTTCTAATCATGAGTTTTCTTTTCTGTATTTTATGATGCTTTGACAAATCGGGGGCCTTGCTAATCCTAGAGAGAATGCACCCCTAGGGCCGGCTAATTCCTATAGATAGCAAATGTCTCTCCCATGAGCACCTTTCATGCACAAGCCAACCAGTTGGAAGCCCATGTTCTCAACTACCTCCTTTGTCTCTCATGCCAGGCCAATGCTCCCCCTGGCCTGGATGGCTGGGGACCACCCCTGTAGTTCAGAGCTCATGGAGGTGATTTCAATTCTAAGCTTGCTGTGACTTGCTGGTCCTGCCTCACCCATGCCTTCCTGTGGGAGCCACAGTGAAGGCTCTGGCCGTACTTTCCTCTCTCCCTTGGCCTTATGACCAACCTGGTGCTTCCCCGTGTGGCCCTGCATGGCACGGTATCTCCTCTTGGGAACTCTAAGTAATAAACTCCTCTTTCGGGGCAGCTGCCTCTGCGTCTGTCATCTTACTATGCTTGATTAAAATAAAATCCTGGGCACATCTTAACACAGCCTGCCCTTTCCCGTGAGGCCCGCACGCCCTCTGCTGCAGGGCAGGTCCACGTTGCTGCAGAGCTAGGCATGATGAATCGGGGCAAGATTTATGCTGCTTCGATTCAAATGAAAAACAAGCCCCTCTGACTGTAAGAATGAAATCACATGACTGCCAGCAGCATTTAGTGAAGACCTTCCAATACCACCAACCACTTTGATTTCTATCTCTCTGCAGGGGCTGGGCCTCTCCGATGCTAATGGCTACTGGCCCCCAAACTTCACAGGACGCCCGTTCATCCACCAGTTCTTACCTCTCGCTTGGCTTTCCAGAGAAACATCTCATCGGTGTGCCGGAAAGCTTTTCTGAGGGCTCCCTCGGGGTCTGTGGGCAGCTCTGGCTGGCGGGCAGCATTGGCATGTATGTGCACAGCGGCATACCTTGCGGCGTCCACCCCTCCGTGACCATCAAACACGGCAAAGTAGGCGCGGTCCACAGGGTCCTGGTGGGGAATGCAGTGGGAGTCACCACCCAGCTGGCCTCACGTCTGACTGAGGCCTTGACCTGGCCAGAGGCTATTGCTTGGGAGTAGAGCTCAGGAGCTGACTAGAAGGGTCTGGAAGATTCAGCATGGCCTTTACCGTCAGACAACCCTTCGGAGCCTCCGTTTCACCTTCTGTACTGAGTTGCTGGGAGCACAAGATGAGGTAAGATGTACCAGGTGGCTCCCAGTGCTTGACAGAGCAGGGCTCAGCAATCATGAGTCTGGGCAAATGTAGTGCCCGGGGCCTCCACTTTTAAGACTTGGGCAAACCATTTCTTGTCTCAGTCCCTCAGCTGGGAAAGCAAGGTGGCCAGTGGCTCTGAAGTGCTGGGATGATGAATTGGGCATCCTAGACCTCTGGGAAGTGCTTTGAGAGCTGTCCAGCACCTCGACCTTCAGACAGCAGCTGCAGGTATCACTCCTGCCATGGCTCTGTCTGGAAGCTCGGCACCCAGGGTGGTTCCCTGCCACCTGTACAAGCTCTCCTAGGCTGTCCTGATTGGGGTCACTGGCCTCGCGCACTGCCCCGGGGCCTGGGAGGTGGAACACTGGAGGGGGAGCACTCACAGACAGGCCGAAGAGCTGGTTGAAGGTGGGAAGGCACACGTGCCGGTCCTCCATCTTGCGGCGAGTGTTCCGGATGGCGTGGATGGAGACCAGCCACTGCCGCTGTGGAGCCCGGGCAGTCAAGGGCACCTGCTTCTGCCACTGGCTGCATACTTCCCAGAGCCGGTTAAAGAAGCTCCGCGCCAGGCCCTTGGCATCCAGCACTGATAGGCAAGAAGGAGGACTGTTAGGGAAGCATCAACACAGGCCAGTTGACGCTCCACTCGCTCTCCCCCACCCCCTACCTGTGGCCTCGGAGTTTTGCAGACAGCCCCATCACAGGCCTGCCCAGGCCCCACCAGCCTGGGCACACCAGTCTAAGAAACTACGTGTGACAGGCTGTCATCAGCAGTGAGAAATGTTTGGTTTGGCAAATATGCACCAGGGGCTTCCTGCCCCATGGTGGAGCACCTCCACTCATGGGAGCTCACCCCAAGGAAACAGCTGGAAAAAGAAAGATGATTTGAGGACAAAGTACAAAATCACTTATAATTGTGCATTAATTAGAAACAACATGTATCCATGACAGAGTAAATTATGGTCTATTCTCCTGATGAAGAATTAAGCTGCTATTAAAA